ACCCGGGTCCCGCTGACAAAGAGACGCCGTGACCTCATCGTGAGAACACCGAGAGGTACCCCTCCGGTTGCCGGCATTCCACCGGGACACATTTCTTACGTCACAGACCAGATGAACAGAATAAAGGTGTGTACTTCGTAAACCCGGGTAAAATGTGTGACCTCACAGATCAAATGATCACAACAAATACGTGAATTTTGCATTACGTATAGGTCAATACAAGACATCGTCAGAGAATCTGCTGGGTACCTGTCGGGTGCCTGCCGGATACCGACCAAAGAGGGTGACAAAATTTCTAACAAAATGCTACTGAAGGAAATTTTTAATTGTGACCACGACAGCCGATGCCAGCTCGACTCCTGAACCCGGCCGGGGCCGGCCGGGGCTACATCCCCGACGGGCACCGGCGTAATTGGGACCTTAGCTTTAGACCGGATCTAGTTCTGTGGTCCGAGGATCAGAAAGCTGTACTGATCATTGAGTTAACCATCCCGTGGGAAGAAAATGTACAAGCAGCATTTGAAAGAAAGAAACTGAGATATGATGATCTGGTCCAGCAGTGCAAGCAGAAAGGCTGGCAGACGCGACTATACCCAGTAGAAGTCGGAGTAAGAGGATTTGTAGGGACTTCCTTCATGCGTCTGTGCAGGGACTTCAACATCAGGGGAAAAGCCCAGACACAGCTCACTAGACAGGTTCGAAGAAGCAGAAAGAAGCAGTTTCGTGTTGTGGCTGAAGAGAAAGGATAAGGCGTGGAAGTCCTTCCAGAGAAGTGGCGACAGTACCGAAGCGGAGCAGGGACGCCTGCTCCGTTGCCCCACCCCCCAGAGACGTCTTAGGCAGAACGGGGCGAAACGTCGAGGAAGGGAGGCGTCTAACTGATGAGACGGCACTGCAGACACTTGGGACCTTCCGTGGTGCTGAGAAGCACGCCAAGCTCAGCAGCAGCTAGGCAGGTCAGTTCTGATCTGTATGTCCAATTTAAAATTTGTCCTTTCTGTAAGAAACTCCCCCACCGTATGATATGGTATAGTACGGTACGGTACTTACCTGCATATACCTCCACCTCGCACAGCGTCAGGACTCGCTTCCTCCCCGGCAGCCTGATGCCCACGTACCTGCCCCTCAATCCGCCGCAGTTGACAACCTTCTCCGTCTCAGGCCGAGGGAAGTGGTGATGTCCGCCACACCTCGGGTTGCTGGCCACGTTAGTGCTGTCCCCGACGTGGACGTCGAAGGGTGTGATCCTTTTACGGCGGTCACGGCGGTTGACGATGGCGACGTGGTCGATAGTGACTTGACGTCCCAAATCGACGTACCACCATGGGTCGTTTTCTTCGTTCGTGTGTGTGCAGGAATTGTCAGCCCAGTGAGGACTCCTGTTACCGTCCACAGCTCGAGCCGGGTCGCCTTCATGCCCTGTGCTCGATTGACGCGTAGGTCTTCCTAATGCTACGTTTGGGTCATCATGGATGGGGTCATGGAGGTCACCTGTAGCGGAACTCACCCCGGCAACATCGAGGGTCAGTCCTGAAAAGTCTGTCGTTGGAATTGTATTGGATATTGGCTACTGTCCATATGATTAACAGATTAACTATACCTATGCAAAATGCAATAAAAACAAACAATAAAACCTTTAAAGCTTGCAATTTAAAAGGAAATGTTCAGATTCGAAGTCACTTCTGCCAACATTTCAAATAAATCGCCATGTTAGCAGACTTCGCTGTGATTGATACTAATAAAATAGCAAGAGATACTGTAATCCCGTAAATATTTCCTTGACAGTAACTTGACCCTTGACCCCTAGCCAACATAACCCAGAAGGACCGTGCGCGGGCCCTATAGACGCATAACTTGCATGTGCGTCCCGAACTATGGTTATCCAAAATTATATTCAATCTAAAACCCAACTGTACATAGAGACACTTACTGCAGCCTAAAACTTCCACCCTCATGCTGATCCAACTAACCCAGGACATGGGCAGGAAGCGAACATAACGGGCAACAACTGGGTTTTCCAGGATGTTGGTTACTGGAGTGTCTCTATCAGTATTTCCTACAAAGACCTGAAAGGTAAATGGATATATTAATTCGTGTATAAAGAACACTGGCTGACTTTAATTTTAACGCGAAGCATGTAGCATTCATACCTAGCTGCAATATTTAATTTTATGCAGTTATATGCAGAAAAGGTTAATATTTTATTGTTCATTGTCGAATAAATGCTTCATTGCTTTTAACGACAATGTCCATTAAAATGGAAAATGGCAATCACAGTGTGATCTACAATAATCAGATAAATCAATTATTCACCTAAGGCCAAAGACGTGTTAGCTTTTAGACTTACGACTTTAAGACTTAGATTTAAAAATCCGTCCGACACAGATCGAGATTTTTGTCAAGTCTAAAACAAGAGTTACGATCTTTAAGGCCACCCACAATGACGGCAGTGACATCGTTACATGTTACGTATCCACTATAAAATGGCGGCATAGATGTACTGTCCCGAAGTCGGTTTATATTTGTAAAAAAAGTAGATTTCTTACTGTTAGGCGAAACCCATTTAAAAGGGGGCTTGAAGTAGCGGGTTGTTGCGAGTTTACTGTAAATGACCGCGGGATCTGGGGTCGAATGACGGTTCGGTTCGAATGACGTCACATTAAAAATGATTCGGTTCGAAAAAGGTTGATATATTTGGTGCAGGCAAGGCTACCTTTCGATTTCGATAAAAGAAGAATTTAAATGTTCTGTCTGTACTTACCGTTTCAACACCATCATTGCCTGCGTAGGTAACCCATGCGGTACCATAGGTACTGTACTGTACTTTGTAGGAAGTCACCCACTGGTTGGCAATGCGTCGACCCTGAATGACGGTGCCTGAGACGGTCTTAATCCTCCCTAAATCAACCTGTTGAACACACATGTTATTAAAACCGCTTGCTAAATCATCAACTACCTGAACTGAAATATATTGTTTGCGAGTATGTGTGTGTGTGTGTGTGTGTGTGTGTGTGTGTGTGTGTGTGTGTGTGCGCGCGCGCGCGCGTGTGTGTGTGTGTGTGTGTCGCGCGTGTGTGTGTGTGTGTGTGTGTGTGTGTGTGTGTGTGTGCGTGCGTGTGTTTACGCGCGTAGCTATTGTATCTGAACAGTCATGTCATTACATGGGCGGGAATAATTACTTACCCGGACACAGAATCAAGGTTCTTGTTGTGTCTAGAAACCTGCCTGTTTTAGCACCATGCCAAGTCTTGATGCTCGACGAATTATAAGAACCATTTTTAGGAGAAATCTACGTTTTTGGACATATGGGAACTGTCCGGAACTGTTCCTGACCGGGCACAAGTCTTGAAACACAGAGGCTTTGGGGGTAAAGCATAGTGTTTTTGGGAAGAAGCCTTATCAAAGTGTACTTAAGCTATTTTCAGCTACTATTATTTTAAGCTATTTTGTTTTGTTTTCTCTGGATCAAGGGTAAGGGAATTAGCACAACTCCTGCTCTGTAAACTACACTGTACAATTTATGTTGGTTTTAGATAAATTTGATCAAAAGTCACTGCTTTTTTAATAAAATATTCTGCATGCAACAAAATAACAAGGTTCTTTTTGTTTGTAAGCTTCTTCTAATATGATATAAGAGAGCTAGATAATCGCGATTACAGTTTTTAATACAACACGAAATTCGATTGATCGGTTTCTGTAGCACAGTCCTATATACAACACTCTGCTTATCTACCATGAGACACAGTTCTTGATACTCCCAAAGCGCTTTCAGGACCATAAACGAAGCCTAAATTATAACTTCCATTTGTTTGTACATAATTACATCAACCATAATCACCTGCAACCATTGTGATGTATCGAGCGTGCGGGCTGACCACGCCCCTTGCCCGGCAACCCCGTTCAGGCGAGCGCGGTAGGGTTCGTTGTAATAGGACGTGGATGCAGTAATGCTTCCATCCGGAATGGAGCCGGATTCCATTCCAAGTGGATCTTGACAGACTGAAAGCGTAAACATACTTTAATGAGATTGGCTTTGTTTATGGAGGTTGTTGGAAGAATCCCTGCATTTTACATTAAGGCCATTAAAGTTAAAAAATTACTTTTTGAACCAAGGCGCCTTTCTTAAGTAAATAAGGACCGCAGGCTTTCCGTGACTTAATCCTCATACCGTGGCTTTCCCAATGGCTTAGGATCCTGACTCCACACTTTGCTCAGATTGTTTTACATTATCTTAATATATAGGCGTTTCCCATGTGAATCCTTGCTAAGATCGTGCATGACGGTTACGTTATACTGTGTCTTAATTTTTTTGGCTGGGCGATAGGTTCACGTTAAACAAGAGACGAAGGAGTATTTATGACACCAGGACGGCCATAACGTATTTCCTAATTACCCTGACTAGTACCCAACAACTGCCTTGTTTTTACTCCTCATGTATAAAATGACGAACACATCCCTTTGGACAACATTACAGATTTTGTCTTAAAACATCGTCTTCAGAGCGTGTCTAAGCAGGCGCTAAGAAATATTGTGATATGGGCGTTAACAACATTGTAACGATAGCTAATACCGGGCAACATGTACAGGTGTAGAAGTTTTTTTCCGTCAGCAACTTTAGTCACTATCTGCAGGCATGAAGGCTCAAGCTGTAAACTATCATTGCAGAAGAAGTAGTGGATAATTAACGATGCGGAGCAAAATTTTTCTTAGGCCATAATCTTTCTTAGGCCATACAATTTCATTCCATGACTTTTAAAGTAAAGTTTCACAGCCAGTAGGGCAGGCATAATTCATGTTTACATTTCAGCAAATTGCGATTCAAATCAGGAAAGTTGTAAAACAGACAATCTGCACTTCATACTACTAGAAACACTTACTGTTTCCACTGCAGCCTAAAATCTCCACCCTCATGCTGATCCAACCAGACCAGGACATGGGCAGGAAACGAACATAACGGGCAACAACTGGGTTTTCCAGGAGGTTGGTGACAGGGGTGTCCTTGTCCGTGTTGCCTGGGAAGACCTGGAATAAATTTGGATATATTATTGCATGGAAAAATGTAAACTGACCGACCTCGGACAAAGGCCGCATGTCCTTTTTTTTTAAAACACCTAGCTAGCTTCAATGGTTCGATAATCATATATTCAATCAGTAGTCACAATACTTTCATGATTATCAATGAATACTGTAAACAGCACAAACGCTATTATCATGAGGAAATTTTTAATAAATACTGTGACAACCCATATATTATGTCTGTAATATTGTAAAACAAAATGCTGTTAGATTTTATGACTGAGAAATTATAGTCAAGTCAAGTCAAAGTTTATTGCACAACTAATGTACGGATACATCGTATGGCAATTAGGGGTACTAAGTACAAATCTAAAATCTGAACTAATGCGTAAAAGAGTACTACATTCATGCTGTATATGAATCGAACTTAAGTTACATCGTACTAGTATACAAAAGGAATGGCAAACATTATACAGGGGTTCTGTAAATCTACAACTAAATACTACTCTGTCCTATACTTAAGTATTACTAGTATAATGGATATATATATATATATAGTTGATTCCATTGTTATGTGTAAGCAATCAGTTGACTGTTTCGGAAATGACATTGTTTCTTTTAACTAAGGCGTTAGAAATATATTGGCCTATATATGGTGAGATTGCATCGGGGCATGACATTAGAAAAGTAAAGGTATCTGAGACTGTCTTAGGTAATGTAATACTTGTGTTGTTGGCGATAGAGTTCATAAGTGTTTGTCTTTCTTCATTGTAAGCTGGACATGTTAACATAAAATGCAATTCATCTTCTACAATATCTTTGCAAATAGGACAACATCTGTGGGTGGCTGGTACATTGTTATGGCGTCCCTTTTCTATTTCTAAACAGTGTGAACTAATTCGTATTTTGGTTATATTAGCGGCGAAAGATTTGTTTTGTATTAGTGAAAGATATTTCTCAAAAACGAAGTCAGATTTAACTTTGGAGTAGGTTTTCAGTTTGCTGTAATTTCTGATATTTTGCCTCCAGCCAGAAACAAACGTGTCTTTGAGCCGTTCTTTGAACACGTTTCCAAAATGTTTGGCGTTAACTACTGGGTTTAGCCAAACATTTTGGAAACCGTGTTTACATAACATGTCTTGCACATGAACGGCCCAGTCGTGTTCTTGTTCCACAGCAATATCGTAAGCTTTCTTAACTATTCTATCGTTAGGGAGGTTGTGTAGTCGGAGCCAGTATTTAATTAAATATTTCAATCCCCCTGATTATGCAAATAGGATCCTAAACTGCATGAATTATATCTGTTGATCTTATTCTACACCCAAAGGCAGTCTTATCTTAACAAAGAATGCCATTATAGCATGCCCTCTTAAATTAGGCAAATTAGGTCCTTATTTGGATAAGTCATGCTTGATTATTATTTTCACCTGCAGTAAACGTTCAATACCCCAAGTAAAAAAAATATTTGTCTGTACCGTACTTACCGTTTCAACACCATCATTGCCTGCGTAGGTAACCCATGCGGTACCATCGGTACTGTACTGTAGGAAGTCACCCACTGGCTGCGATCGTCTTTGCGTCGACCCTGAATGACGGTGCCTGAGACGCTTTTGATCAGTCCTAAGTCAACCTGTTGAACATACATTTTGCTTAAATCGCTACCTAAATCAACTACCCCTAAAGACGGATGTATTGTTCTGGGATATGTATGTGTATTTGTGTGTAGGTGGGTGTTTAATATTGTGTCGTAAGAGTTGAATAGCATCACGTGGGTGGGAAAACTCAACTAACTAGAAACATGGTCCTTCATAGTTCAAGAACTGTGCTTGTTCTAGAACCATGTCCAGAACCATGCTTGGAGCATATCTATGATGTTGGACTTTCCTATCCGTGCCTGACAGTCGGACGTGTCCATTTTTGTGCCCTCTCAGACGCGTTTCTGGACATAACAGTCCTAGACAGCAAAAAGGAAGTTGGCTCTGAGATCTAGAACAAGCCACTAGAGGTTCCATACTTTTTACGATATATTTCCAAAACCAAGAGCTTTCTACCATTCAGAATTTATGACAATATCATATGCAGAACACAAGATATCGACACAGTCGTTCTGCAGCAGTACCAATGAGTATAGGAGTGCAAAACTTAATCACTTTCCTGTTAGTGACAGAAACTACTAACACATTAAACAATAAAAAGAGCCTGTTAATCGTAGTAACAAAAGGCTCGCAGACAGACAACCACAGCCTAGAACAAAACTACTATTTTTACATTAGATATCATACATGCAACCATTGTGATGTATCGAGCGTGCGGGCTGACCATGCCCCTTCCCCGGCAACCCCGTTCAGGCGAGCGCGGTAGGGTTCGTTGTAATAGGACGTGGATGCAGTAATACCTCCATCCGGTATGGAGCCGGATTCCATTCCAAGTGGATCACGGCAGGCTGAGAGGGAAAACACACTCTGTTCAGGTTGGTTAAAAAAACATGGGCGTTTGCTAAGAGACTGCCTGTTTAAAATGCATTTTACATTAATGGTATTTAAAACTATAGCGCTTAGATACTTAGATGTGTTAAAAAGCTGAATGAAACTTTAGAATGCTTCTTTTTTGCGGTGCACGTGGCGGGGTTTGCACATAGCGAGTTCGATCCCCGAGAGGAGCTTTTTTTAATTTTCTTTTTAGCAGTCGTTGTTTTGCTTTTAACACTCAAAAACTAATTGTTCAAGTCCCTACCTATGAGTTTTTTTAATTTTCTTTTTAACATCCGCTGTTTTGCTTTTTTTTTATCAGATGTGTTTTCTTCTTTAAGTGGTCTCGTACCAATTTCATCAACTTGGGTAATATCATTTCAACAACTTCTACCTCAATAACGGCAGTAAAACCTTCGTCAGCTGAAATGTCAGCTTTTTTTGAAAGCACTTGTTTGAAGACAGAGGAGACAAAGGATCCCACTTTTTCCGTAATTTGTGGGTTTTCGGATGATAAGAGGAGAGTAGTTTTCTTTTCATTTTCGTTTTCTTTTAATTTTGGTAAAATTAACAGAAAAAAATTATACGCTTAACGATCAATATACCGATAACGCTTAATGTTGAATTAGAGCGGACCGGCTACGATTAACGGTGAATCAAAACAGCACGTAACGCTTAACGGAAAACGGCATGCAGGCCCTCAAATATGTGAGATAATCCATTATACACTGGATACATGGATACTTGTATTCGTGTTTTTTTAAGCGAATTGTGGGTAATCTGCGTATATAAGTTCAGCAACCACGGCATTTATTGTCAAAGTCTAGGATACTGACCGTACACCGATTGGACGCTATGCGCTATCAGTGGCCGAGACAAGGACGAGAGATGCACCTAGCCTCCTTCGCAGTCTTGTTGGGCGTCGGCGTTATTTTTTTCTGTGAGCGACGCTAGTAATAATCATAAAAATTCATGCTTACCGGATAAATGCCTTTTGCCGAAAAGTCCTGCCATGTGATCATCAATACCGTTGTTGCCGGCCATCACTTCTTCCTCCACCAAATCTGTGTCAACAAAATGAAATACTATGTACAATTGTATGCAATTGTGAACATGTAAGGCAAACAATGAAACGATTAAGTTAAATAGCAAGCTCTACTAAAGAACACAAATTATGACACAGTTTGTTTCCTCTTCAACATAAGACATAGTCAAGCAAAAAAGAAAGGTTCGATAAAAATATCTTCCATTTCTGTCTATAAAACCCACCTTTTTCGGTTTAAAACTGAAAGACGACAATTGTGACTTTCTCCTTTTTTCTTATCATATTTGTTAAGTTTGGCATAAGTTGCTTTCATGATATGAGATTATGGTACAATTGTACAAGCTGCTTTCTAGAGATAATACATGAGAATGCAATATTGGTATCGAACGCACTATAAAGACAAACGTCTCTCTACCTTCCAGCTGTTTAAGTAACATCTCCACTTCCTCAATATCAGGTGAGGCATCTTCATTCAGTTGTTGTTCCTCTTCCGGCTGTTGTGCCATGCTCTTGGCTTGTGGTAAAAGTTGAGAGATAAATCGTATTTAGTCCGATCCATCATTTGACTTCCATCCGAAAACTACACATTTCACGTTTTTATCATGTTAAAAGGGGCAAATGTTAGATCCAAACGGAAAACTTGTCTTTCATTGTTTCCGTTGATATCATGGAAATGTTTACCTGGATACACGGCTCCAGCCAGGAGTGCCAGTGCCAGGACAAACTCAAAGTGACGGGTCATCTTTGTCCAGTCCAGCGACTCTGTATCCAAGACAAAATAAATGAAATTAAAAAGAACATGTAAGTTATGTCTTTGTATTCGTAGCGATACTGCACACAAAATTTATACATAGAAGGGGTTACAACGGGGGGAAGAAAAACAGAGACTCGCATCAGAACACAGACGCTTTAAGCGTAAAGCAAAAAAATAAGTACATGATGTAGAAGATGATTCTTCTTCATGGTCCTACGAGACGGATGAAATGCCTACTAGGATATATATATATATATATATATATATATATATATATATATAGATAGATAGATAGATAGATAGATCGAAGGTTGTATATGTACAAAAGTGCAACAAAATATGACAAAAGACAATGAAGTTAGTACGTCGATATGGTTTGTACAAAACCTGAAGTAATAGACATGTTGCAAAGTTTGTGTCTGGCTTTCTACAGTAGCAGCAGCCAACATGCTCATCCCGAACAATTTTTTATTCTTTAGGCCATGTTGATTTGATTACATGGATGACATCCGCGCGCGCATGAATTTTCGGCCGTTTCCACAAAAAAAAAGGTTTCAACCATACTGTAAATCGTACAAAACAGTTGCAAAATGAGCAAAAATATACCATAAGTTACAACAAAAATTAATAAAAACTATACCAATGTCGTAGAATGCCTAAATCAAACGAAAAAAGATGAAATTGTAAAGAAATGAACTTGAAGACTAGATTATTCGCCAAACCATATTCTGTGCCATTTGCTCAACCCTCATGACCACGTAGATTTCATAATGAAAAGAACTTTTTTTTTGCAAAACTTTTTTTTATTCGCACGCGCACATCAGTTTTGGGGCTCCCGGAGGATGTCATCCATATAATCAAATCAACATGGCCTTATTGAACAAACACAATATATAAATCGATCACATCAAGGACAAGTACACGTATTTAAACAGCCCAACTTGACATTTAACATGAAACTGAACCAATACTTTATTTTTAAAAAATAATAGATAAGAATTAAATGCGCGCTGCTCCCCCCTCCCCATGTAGCAATGCGTTAATATCACCTTTGGTGTCTCTGGAGAAACGGGGCAGTTCGTATTAACTCCACATAGAAAAAGGCAGACACAACCGCATTCCTCTAGAGCAAAGGATTCGCCAATTTTGCGATTTAGATAAGATTGAGGATGAGTATCATTTTGTAGTCGATTGCACGTTATATAGTAATGAAAGAGATTCCCTTGATTCTTATATAATGGATAAGTTCCCCAGCTTTGGACATTTAAATGAAGTAGAAAAATTCAGATTTCTTATAAAACTTGACAAATCATGTATTATTAGTTCTATATGCTCGTACATATTTAACTGCGTCAAGAAGCGAGAAGAAGTTGAACATGTAAATAGTAGATCGCATTAGTATGTATAGTGCAATTGCTGTACCTTTCTCCTTGTCTATTCATGACCTGTACTTAGCTTGTTAAGAGCACAAATGTACAATAAAGGTCTTTCATTCATTCATTCTAATATCGAATCGATTAGAGAAGGTCTCTGTGAGAAATCACAAGGGGGCTCAGTAATGGTCTGATGAAGGTTACCAGTAACTGCTAAGTACAGTTCAGCACCGGTTAGTTAGCTGGTGCCACCACTCTTCATTTTTGCGTAATAATAAATGTCACCAATTATGACAAAGGCATCGGGGCAAAGAATGTGCCATGATGACAGGGTCAGTAAAACAGTCTAGAAAGTCATTAATTATGCAGACATCCTGTCAAGATGGCTGGTATTAAACAGAAAACAAAGTTTTGAAATGGCTAATCTCCTCAACCTTGGTGGCAGCCACAATGCTATCAACATTTCCATAAGAATGCCTGGATCTTTCGAATGCCTGGATCTTGGAATTAGACATCATGGTCAGTTTTAAATAGCAGAACCTTCCCTAGTGTAAGATTTGTAGCATGGGTTGGGAGGTTAAGCGCAAATACATAATAAATCATGACTTGCTTAAGTTTGGTTACGGAACACAAATATAAGCACAAACAATAACAACATAAAACTCTTAGCTAACAGTTGAATTGCTAAACACCTCTGCAGCAAGCCAACTAGGTGATGACATCGAAGTCAATCATCGCCATCTCAAACTAAGGTGCGGAGACTTTCAAAATAATAATAAATGCAATATGTTGTTCCTACATACGTACACTGGACATGGATCGGTCTAGACTAAGTCACCACAAAACACGGTGGTCAAATCTGGACTGCAAAGTTCCTGTAACCCGAACTGCATTCAATCGAACTGGGTAATTCGAACCGAACGCACGTTCTATTTGGGGGTCACATGTGGTCGTTTACAAATGAACCCGCAAAAACAGGCCCTTCCTCCTCCGTGCCTCGCAACAGAAAAATTACTTCTCTACAGTTACAAACTAGAGTTCGGAGGGCTCATGCCTTCGACAGTGTGATATTGTTTTGGTGGGTGTTGTGTGTATGTATAGTGTAGGTTTTTTGAAGATGATTATCTTAGTTATAGTGGTCAGAGAGTCTTTTGTGAACGAAGCAACATACTATTTACCTAGCCTGTACCATGTCTTTCTACGGAAATACGGAATGTAGAATTCGTTATTTGGTACAGGGGTGCCTTGAGCATATGCTCAAAGAATGACATTTGCAGCTTTGGCATACATCACTTGAAAATGGTGTGAAACAGGTCTTTTCTGCTATTTTCAGACAAAAAATGTACATTTTTGGCTCCATTACAACCAAATGACCTAAACTTTGGTATAGGAGTGCCTTTGACGTATGCCCAAAGAACTATACTCACATTTTTGGTAAACCTCACCTCACCGGTCCCATAGCAGTCTGTCCTGCCGTCGGGGCAACTAAACTGTCCATTTATATATATTTATATTTATTTATATATATTCATATTTACATTTATTTATATATATATTTATATATATGGGTTGCACATACATTACAATCTATATAGTGTCCTGTACATGTACGACTTTGCCGTGTTTCTCGTGCAACGCATCACACCGCAGCGAAACGCAACGGATGCGGAAGTAACTACACCACCGCGGGGCAAAAAAGTCAAGGGCCTATGACCTGATTAAGACATAAATTAAGACTGGCAACTGAAGATTGGATGGATTCGATTCCTTCTTTAACCGAACTGGTTGCTCTTAGGCGACAGTGTCCCCTTTAAATAAAGTTAAGCGTTGAATAAAATTTCGCTGGTTGGACAGGAAAAAAATTCCCATGTAGGCGTGGCGTCAATACGTCCGCTAATAAGGTCGTTGCCGGTAAGGCATGTGCGATCGTTGGCATACTATGGAATCAGCCTGCCAGTGGACAGAACCTAGTGGTACCTATTGTTTAGAATACCGCAAAGAAGAATGTGATGGTGTAAGTGTTAACTTATCCCGGCCCGTGTTTCCCGTCAAATTAGTTTGAATTACTTTGGCCCGGGGCTGTTTTGCCTTATGCTTAGGTCACAATTCAAGAAAGGGGCCCGCTCGGCGCGTGTTCGGCGTGTTTTTTGGCACTACGGAACGGGACCTGGACGGAGACCGGCGGGCTTCCCGACGGCTGCCGGCCTATTTTTGGCCCCGCGCGGTCGCCGAATCGATTTTAACTCAGAGTTAAAAACACTTCGGGCCCCGTTCGGCGAAATACGCCGAAGCGACGCCGTAACCTCACTGCCCGGAACCCGTCGGGCGGCCGAACAGGCACCTACCTAAGATTATGACGTCACATGTGCTGATCAGTGCATCAGATGGTCAGGAAAAGGGGGTTATAGGGAGCATATATAAACTCCTGCCTCAGACTACGTCGCACAGTTCACCACGTGTGTGTTACATCGTGTACTTGTGTGTGTTACACCTTGTATTTGTGTGTCAGAATGTCGAAGGGCAAGGGAAAACAGCCGGCACGGCTCTCTTGCCAACTTCATAAAACAGATCATAACAGGAATAGTATGTGTCTGACATTATCTCTTGTTACATCATATGCCTTCGTAATAAAATGGAATCAGAAGTTATTGGCATTTATTTTCAGTCCAAATTTCAACAGAAGCAACATTCAGTGATATTCAGTGGTTTTATTGCTCAATAGCAAGGAGCTGCCACGGCACACTTCCTGCGTCACTGCTGAAGTACTTCCTGCGTCACTGTTGAAGTACTTTCGAAAGTAGGCCCTCGGTTACTTTTGCGACGCACCAGTTCTGCCTGCCTCTCTTCTTCAGCTACCAATGCCAGAAGACCAATCTCAATCTTAGACGGGCTTGTAAGTTGTTTGCAGGTTGCACTGAACGCTGCATCGCCAACTTCAGTCTACTCTTTACTTGACGTGTACTCTTTACTTGAAGTGAACGGTAGCAGGCAGTGCAGCGCTTATATATGTACCTGCTCAAAAACACGAGAGGAGCCCATCGGGATCCCGCCAGGAACCCGCCAGGGACCTGACAGCTGCCCGGCCGAACTGTAAGAGCCGGTCGGCACCCTACCACACGCCGCACGGGTCAAGACGGGCGACTGACCGGGCACCGGACGGGTCCCTGACAGAAACCGGCCGCAAAAGTTTATGAATATTAATGAGAGCCGCCGGCCGGAGCACAATCAGGGCACAGCCCACTAATTCCAGCCCCTATTGGAATATATGGAAAACATCTAAGAACTGAGCTGTCAACAATCACCTACTTGAGTGTTCAACTATTGCAAACACATATTGACAGGGTAGTCCAACTTCCAAATTGTCCATTTAGTCCAAAAATTTCACTTTTTGACCAGCGATACCTGGCACGGCAAATGCAAACACTGGCAGCATGACCTCTGACCCCCTTGAAGACCACCAAAAGACAAGAAGATGGGATTAGTTTTAGAACCTACCAAGCAGCCAAAACAACCCTAACAACCAGTTTTTTCAAGTTAATAGAAATAGAAATAACTCTCCAGCTGGAAAATGCCAGCATTTATCCACACATACCAAGAAAAAGGCTTTTTCAGTTGGTTTGGCTGCACTCACTCAAAGGGGTCTCAGACTGGGCCCTCTGGGCATGCGCCATTTGGTGGCCTTTGCCCACAAGCAGGCCCCGACAGGGAGCCGTAAAGTAACATTTAATTGTGACCCTGACAGTACGGCGCACGCTCGGCGTCATGACGCCGGCCGGCGTCTACACCGAGGACATGCCGAACGGGCGCCGTTTCAAATGTGACCTAAGCATTAGGAGGGCATTACGTTCGTAATTTAGAGTTAGGAACTGACACTCTATATTGCGGTCGGCTGTCGTCATAATCACTGAAACCACAAGTAGCTTGTATAAGGGAACGGTGACAAAAGCATACACGAACTGTTATGCAACTGACTGTTTTTTTATGTATTTTGATGATATAACCTATTGTCTCGTGGGATTCCTACACCGTGGCATAGCCACACTGAACGACAGACCTGTTACCATCCCTTCAATCAAATTGACACCTAGATCTTTCGGACGAGTCAGTGAACTCAAGTGAACTTCATTGAACTTCAGGGAGCGACCCCAAAGGTCACTCAGCATCAGTAAGATAGATGAGAAATTAATCAAATCGCCGGTCGCTCAGAAGAATTGGCGGGCGAACGTCAAGCAGGTTTCCTGTATGTGATGATTAAAGTCTACGAAATACTCAATTTCGGTCACCAATCAGATTACACTATTTTAAACGAACTTCGCCTAATTCGGCCATGGGCGTGGACAAGATTCTAGAAAAAACAATTGTTCAAAATTGAGTTGAACCACAGAGAAGATGACATTAGACCCTTCTTCTTGAGAGATCCCTCACAGTTGAAGGAGTAAACACCAAAAAAGGAGTTCTATCAGAAAGACCGGAGTACGGTCAGGGACAGATTCTTCAGTGTTGTTAACCACAGGTTAGTGATGATCGACCTTTGTTGGAGAGAATAAACCATCGGAATGGGACTTTGACAACTCTCGGAGGATTCCTTTGTCTGAACTATTCAGCAATCACTGTAGCTTCTCGGCTAAAGTCCGTAGAGGCTCACATATGGCTTTCTAACGCGTTTATAAACGGTTGTATTTTGTTACAAATAATCTGCTTTCTTCAACTTGACATCATCGGTCAATAAAGACCGTTTTACCGCCCAATTTCATATAAATTGTATACAGTAAATCGGCCCATAGCGGCCCAATCGATACGATATGAGAAATAGCCCATTAATACGAGTAAATCGCTGTGGTTGTGTAATTATATATAATAGGTTATAAATGCTCACCTGGCTCAATGCAGCTAAGAAACCAACAAGAACCTCTGCCGATGAATCAGACAAGGACCTTCGCCGGTGAAGTCGACAAGGAGCTGCGCCGATGAAACAGAGAAGGACCTTTCCGCTCGTGGAACTTTACAACGAATGCGGCACAGGACAGGACCGGCTTTATATACACAGAGAAACTGCTGAATCCCTGAGGAAGTTGGCACGGAAAAGAAACTTCGGTATGCATAATTATACACATGGATCTTGACAAGAATCGCTGACTATTGTTTCCCCTTTCGAACACTGCAGACGAGTGCAACATTCGGAGACTTCCTGTCACCGAAATCGTGACCAAAATATACACAGAGAAACTGCTGAATCCATCAGGAAGTTGTCACGGAAAAGTAACTTTAGTAAGCATAATTTAACACATGGATCTTGACAAGAATCGCTGACTATTGTTTCCCCTTTCTAACATTGCAGACGAGCGAAATATTCGGAGACTTCCTGTCACCGAAATCGTGACTGAACTTTGAGTTAAAATCATCTAACAGATGTTAAATTGAATGCTGCCGTCTTCTGGTTATTGTACACTGGTTACACTGTTTCTCTCTCTCTCTCTCTCTCTCTCTCTCTCTGCCTCTTTGTTTGTGCCAGTCCACTGTCCATGAATATCTCCTTCTCTACAGTTTGATTAACAGTATTTGGCAACCTAAAGTAAATTGCCAGCCAGTTAGGTTATAGTTGTTATCTGAACAATTATTCTAGCAGTAACATAACATTGTCTGAAATTTCTAGCAAATATATCTAAATTCAAATATGTATTAATTGCAAAAAGAAGTAGTACAGTACAAACCCTTTAGAATGTTGTTACAGGCTGACAAGATACACATGATAAGGAGATACACATGGGGTTGAGTTTAACTTGGCCTATGGTTAGAGGGAGATTCGGGGTCGCCAGGATGGATATTATGTTTGATGCTGGTCAGTCGTGGACGTCAAAATATGTATAACTCACTTCTTTCTGTTCAATTAACTGAATATCTAACTGAATAATCCACTTCCAACATTTTCAAGTTAACAAAACTCAAAACTATGTGACACCTTTCATGTATAATATTACTGATTTATGATTCATATGAATGACTTGTTTTGAGGAAAACTGGCAGCTGTCGTCAGAATGCACAGAAATTTACATGGTAATGATTATTCTATTTTCTTATTATTATGTTTATTATTTTTATGTGAAGCTAATTTTATATTGTTCGGTTCGGTTCTAAATGCCAAATGTAAAGATGTGTATTTTGTTCACAAATTGCAACCTTGCAACCTGCTAAGTCTATCAAGCTAAGCATGCATGGGAAATGATATACGCGTGTACACAGGAATCTTGATAAGAATCACTTGCTGACTGTTGTTTCCTCTTTGTCTCCTAATATCGCAGACGAGTGCAACATTACACTTATCTATGAAATCAGAAACGTCCAGTTATTGCAGACACGACCGAACCTTTGATCAAACTATATAACATGTGTTGAATGTAACGATACCGTCATCCATGTAGTAAAATTATTCTCTCTTCGTTCCGTCTCTCTCTCTTCTCTCCCTTTTCTCTGACTTTCTCCCTCCCCCTCCCCCTCTCTTTCTCTCTCTTCCTCTCTCCCCCCCCCCCTCCCTCTCCCCCCCCCCCTCTTCACTTTCCTCTTTCCACTTTTCCTTTAGTTTAAGGTCGTATTTTCCTATTTTGGGCAACGGGCAAATTCTGGTGGGACATTAATAAAACATAGCAAAAAAGGTTAAAACTGGTTTCAAGCTGGCACATTAAGCTCTGTTTTAGATGGGTCGAATGAAGGTAGAACAAACTTTAATCTTAAAAGCCCGACTTTTCAAAACAATTAGAGGTTTAACCAATGAAGGAATAACAACAAGCTGTTTGACCAATTAGCGAAAGGCTGCTAGTTGTATTGGTATCTTTTTTACATTTTGGTTGTTACGTTTTGACGGTATCAAGATCGAGCCATCTGCCTCCAATTTGTGGTGTCGGGATCAGATCACTGTACAAGGCATTTTTTCCTGGCACGGAGCCCTGTCGTATTTCCTTTGATTTGGGCTGACAGGAGTTTGGGGGATTGCATATCCGGTGCCGGTCAAAAGTTGGTTCCTTTGGCAGAACACCCTCAGCCTGATCTGCCAAATTGGAGCCATTTCCTGAAAGAGACCTAGAAATGTGATTTCGGTCGACCCATTTTACAGAAACGATTTGACTTGATAGTCATTTAGCGGGTCAATCTGTATCATAATGTCCTTGGCATCATAAACAATATTTTTTGTCTGCATAAATTGCGGCATCTAGCTCCTATTGGCGTCAATTTCAGATCAACTGTTTAAAACATTATTTTAGCCATACTACAGTGACAACGTAAAGTTTTCCCAGACTTTTTTTAGAAACATTTCTATTGATATAAGAGAGGTATAGAGTGTATTAGACTTGCCTGAGCAGATAGCTTGAAGGAGAAGCACACATAAAAGCGAGATGACACCGAAAACCCTCATGATGGGTCTTCTCTCTGAAACAGAGCATAACAATTGTTAATATTACTGCTTCTCAACGATTTATGTGACTTTGTTTGACTGCCCAGTCTTTTTATTATCCATGGTAGACTGAGAAATACATAATGCACTGTAAAATGTTATACCAGGGGTCATCAGTTTTGGGTCATTAGTTTTTGATTTTTCTGAATCAACTACTGGTCCCAGTCTGGTTGTGGAGTTTGCTGGTGCTGTTGAGCCCCTCCGACAGTTTTCCCGGCTGTCTTCTATGAATAAATAACGAGAAACTAACAAAGGAATTCCTTTCCGGGGGGGGGGGTCAAAGAAGTACGGCAGGCAAACGAGTGCACTTGCCGACCATGGCGTCCTAAGTCTCTCTGTAGAGTTAAGGCTGTTCAAAGCTACCCCAGCACAGATCTCATTATATTATTACAATGAGGCAGTTGGGTATTATTGTAATGGCTCTGTGACAAGATTCGTGCTTGTAAATAGTAGTTTAAGTGATAGTTGAGGCTAGTTACCCGCCAAAATGCATCGCCCCTCTGTGTTTCTATTATACAGTAATAGTATTAAGTACAACCAGGACTATTTAAAACATATGAAAGAGAAATAAACAGGTGATGAGTGTTGCATTTCAAGACAAAATCAAATGAAATCTTGTTTTTTATTTGGGGGGGCGTAGCAGTTGTAGTTTTCTGCCTTGCTTGATCTATGCCCTTTGTACATGATTTGGGGGAAAGTAGCATACACCGGTTGGTGGCAATTTTACCTTAAATCAAAGACAGTCCACTATACTACCAGTAAATCAAGCTAAAAGTACCTAATACAATCACCCAGGAGGCTCCCTATAAACCTCCTTGCAATCATTAAGCAGATGTAGAAACTTTAAAGACAAACTTGTATATTTAATATTTCTCTAGCTTAACATGTTTTGAGCACGTCCTTGTTTTGAGCAAAGCTTCCTTGTTTCAGCAATATTTCATGTGTATCTTTTTTATCAGAACACCTGCCCCGTCCCCTCCTAACAGTAAACAGGGAATGTATGAATTGCTGGGTACTTCTGTAACACCCGCACCCTGTCTTTGCTTTGAGATACGTTGTAGCTAAAAAAAACATGTCGGTCAATGCATAACAATAAGCCTCAAACATTTTAGGGCACAAGGGCAAATTATTGATAATTACTGGCCACGTAGGTGCTAATTATGGCTTGTCAACGTGATTGATGAGCAGAATAACTACAAATATAGTTTACTGGGCAAAATCTGATAGTCCAAACTTCAAACCACTTTAGAAAACTATAGCCATGACCTAAAATTGCAGGAATTGAAATGAAATGATTACAATGTCCTGTTGTATATGTAGATGAAGTAGAAAAAAATAGGTTAAAATAACGATGTAACAAGCTAACGAATAGCCCCTGTGGTAACATGCAGCCCATGTGCAAAAGTCATTTTCGGTCGATGATATTTTAACCACAAGACTCGTAAAACAACGCCTAAAGGTAAAATCTAACGATCTGCCTTTAAGAAGTTCAGCTACGTTCTCAGTTTTAGAAAATAGACAAGTCGTAGCCGACATCATCACTCCATAAAATTGTGGCTTTGTTATCTTTCGCTGTATTTTTGTCACTTATGTCAATAGGGATATTTTGAGTTAATTTAACCATAATGATACAATATAGATGTTTATCTTTAAGGATTGTTTTGTTGCACGTTGTTTTGAGGTAAGAAGGGGGTAGGGAAAATATTATGTTAAAAGGTGTTCTTATCAACACATGCAATATATCTGACCCCATCCCTTGCTAATGACCCAAGCAGCTTACTGCTGTCTGGTGTTTCCATGTGATGCCCATATCCATTGTCTGTTAAAGAGATAAAATATATTGCCTGCAGGGTCAACACACCTATAAATAGACTAATCTTAGGGTTAATGACCTGCCAGAACAACACAAACTCCAGAAACATACATTGTAATATGAAGGACAACCATTGCACAAATATGTAAATTTACAGATAAAAACTACAAAATGTAATTAAGATTCGATCCCATCTCAAACCTGGCCTTGTACTTTTTGAAACATGCTAAATGTATCACTTTGTTTATGTTCATTTTGTACAAATAGAACGTGATGGTTGATACTCATTGTAGTCCAGGCAAATTCAAATGTTATTTGCAGACGACCTACTCACAATGACACAAAAGAGCATATGTAGTACGGTAGTCATGTATGCAGATGACTCCACTCCGTCACTCGGTTGGGTTAAGGCAGCCTATGGCATACTATGAGCAGTATTTCATACATATGCCTGTAACTTTTGATAGCTAGGTCGCACCACAACTAAACTTCACACAGTTCTAGTAGTACTTGGAACACATTGAATAAAGGTTATTTTGTTTTTACTACTTCTGAATTTTTGGGTTAAAAATCAACATTTTGGTTAAAAAATGCTGTGTACTTCATGGCTTTACGCGCAAGCGGTAACAACACATTTCATCATGGTATTTTACAAGTAGAAAGCCAATTACAACCCCCTATTTATTAATTTTGTCCGAGGCTATTTTGTTTTAAATAACAGTTACATTGTTTTGT